TCAGTGTTCTTTTCATTTTCTCTCTTCTTCAGCCCTTTCTTTTTCTCGCGGTAGTTAGCGTAAAGCAGTTACTGAGAGATTGACATCTAATATTAACCAATACAAAATCTGCATTAAAGTTAAGAATGTAAGGATACAATCTGTTAATATATAATTTGTAGTTGTGATGCTCATACATTTTTGGTGAGTGCTCCTAAATTTTTGCTGGTGCTCCTAACTTTTTGAAGTTGGGAGCACCAGTGCTACCAAGTAAAAAAGTTAATTTCGAGCCCTGCCAGGAATGTATTTTTCTGTTGAATATTCATATATTTTATTTTAAATATTGATTGATGAAGGGTGAAGGAGGAAGAATGGGGTTGGTGTGACCAGGTTCAAACTCCACAACTCTTTTTATGCAGAAAATATGTCGAACTTAACAATGCTCCGACAAGAGTTTAATCTAGTCAATTTATAAATGTATTTATGATTTAATTGTTATCGCTGCATGGGATGTGGACACTAAAACATTATTGTAACCCGATGAGCTTTTCTGAGCAGTTTTCCTTCGCAATGAAACACAGTGCCCTCTCATTTAACAGGGATTTTCATAAAGGCCCTGTGCACAAAGAATAAGAACATGCCTTGAGGTACCAGACTCTCTTTCAAGTCATTTTAGTGGCACAAGAATGAACATTAGACAGATGTTGTATCAGTATGCGTGGCCTTTACTTAAAAAGTTTAACTTTACTTTTTGCAGACTGTCAATCTTTAAAAAAAATTATAGCTCCAAGCTGGCATAATTGGGGTCAAAGCACAACCCAGTGGGCAAAGTATGTTGAAAAGACATCAGATTGACATCAAAAGACAGGCCAAACATGCAAATCAGATTGATTTAAAAAACATGACACAACGTTGATTTGATGTGAACGGCACTTCTTGAACTTGAACGGCAAAAATATTGGCCTACATATACATTAAACCAATTTCAGTGTGAAATTAACTCTCACTCGGGATGTATTAATATGAATAGCATTTAACATTAAATCGATTGAGAGGTCTTATTAAGTATATTTGTGACCCTGGACCACAAAACCAGTCTTAAGTCACTTGGGTATATTTTTAGCAATAGCCAAAAAATCATTGTATGGGTCAAAATTATCGATTTTTCTTTTATGCCAAAAATCATGAGGATATTAAGTAAAGATCATGGTCCATGAAGATATTTTGTAAATTTCCTACCGTAAATATATCAAAACCTAATTTTGATTAGTAATATGCATTGCTAAGAACTTAATTTGGAAACCATACACCAATGGAAAGCTTATTTATTCAGCTTTCAGATGATGTATAAATCTCAATTTCAAAAAATTGACCCTTATGACTGGTTTTGTGGTCCAGGGTCACATTTATATAGTACAATTTTTCAACAGAATTAAACCCACATTAACATGTTAAACTGACAGCCAAGTGTAAATTTTTTTTTATTTTTATGGACTTGCTGCATCACTAGCCGGCTTTCCATTCAAAGTTGCGAATTTAACTTATGCGCAAAATTTAAATATTGCATAAAACATAAAACTAAATAAATGCGGTCATTGCTTTCGGAGGTGGATGCTGCTGTTTGGGAACGCAGTCGTGTAACAGTTCTGGGAGGCAATTATACAGAAATACGTTGATGACAGACTTTGCTCGGACATTTCAAAATGTTCTAACATTTCAGATGCTGAGGAAGATTGGTCCACTCAGTACCGCCGCTCCTATTAATCCTGTGAAACTTTTTTGACTGTTGACATTAGTAACGTGTTAAAGGCACAATATGTAAGATTTTTTTATTAAAATATCCAAAAACCACTAGAACAATGTTATATATTTTGCTGACTTGTGTACTTACATTATCCCAAATGTTTCGAAGAATGTTTAAATCCAGAGAAATAAGCAATTCTAACTAGTGACACGGACCGTGTTCATAGTGTCTTTTGGCCACCTTTTTGCAATAGAAATGCTACACCTCTTTAATTTCTTCAACAAAAACATGTGGACATCACAACCCTTACCAAAATTAACCATGGTTTTATCGTAGTAAAACTGCTTAACTTTATTTTGTGTGACTTCTGAATGCTTGAGACTATAAAATCAATCAGACAACGTTATTAATAAAATCATAGCCATAGGTAACTCTCTAGAGCTACAATTGTAATTTGTAAATAATACAATTTAATTACTTTATTAATTACTATTAATTTATATATTTTTATTAAAGTTCTATTTTGACCCCTTATAGTAGGTGTTTTTTGTTTTTTTTTTTGAAGGAGGGGGCACAACAATACTATTCTGCTTAGGGCACCCATTTGGCCAGCAGCGGCCCTGGGTCCACTGATTAGGTTTTGCCATCCCATAGCGCAGTCACATTACTTTTTTGATGCGCATGGAGGAATTTACTCGGCAAATGTGTTTCCATCTCCTTTTATTCGCATTAACTTTTTCGCACTAGTCAAAAACCACCTCAAGCGAGCGTAACAACTTTTTTGCGAATTAAGGGATTTTTATTCACAATTTGCCATTTCCATCACTCGTTTCTGATGTAGACGATGTACGATGTAGACAGCAACTCTAACCCCTATACAGATAGCTCTCTGCAAGGGTTGCTCGACTAATTGTTTTCAATAGTTTGGTGTAATTAGTGTATTGCTACGCTAATGGTACAATACTCTAATAAGCATATCAGAAATGTCAGTATTGATTAAATTACGTTTATTTATAATAAACATTTTCTTAACTCAACTGTCATGTTGGATTTTTTTTCACTTAGCTCATTGCAGTGCAATTCTACGCATATATGATGCCTTAAAACTCTCTTGCTAGGTAACTTTTGGAGCAGAGTGATACATTTTGTGATTTGTGGTGGTTCTGCCATTTTCTGTAAATGTACGAGTGAATTAAGCATGCCATGACAAAGATTCCTTCGGCAGTGTCTTACCTGTGTATGCGGAGAGATCCGCATCACAAATCCACTTTAATTTATCTTAACCCAGTCTTTCTCTAGCAGCTCTTAAAATAGACTGAAGGTCAGAAGTCAGTTACTCCCACTGATGTTCCAGGGCATTTTAATTGATCTCTGAGTCTAAAGCAAGTGGGTTTTAAGTAGCTATTTCTCATTTGCGCTGGACGCCACTCAAGCCTTTTTCTCTCTAGTGTGTGATGCTGTTGTTCCGCTGTTTTCTCATTGCTGTAACGGTCATGAGTCTGGCAATTTTTGACTTTGTTGGATCCTCATTTTCACATTTGGGTAAGGTTTTCACAATACTAGATGTCACAGAGTCAGTAGCAGTTGTATTTGAATAGTTTTGAACACCTCATCCTAATCTACTTAGCTGTTCTCAACAATATTAGAGTTTAATTGTAGTACTTTTTTTTTTTATATGTGCTGCTGTGTTTGATTTGTAGGCTCCCTTTTTACATATGGGCAGGTGCAAGAGAATTCTAACTCAACAACGACCATTGCAACCACCACAACAACAACTACCACAACAACCACCTCCAGCACGACGACAACCACTACTACTACACGTGTCAAAAGTATGCTCTGTCTGCCTTTTCCTTTATGCTCAACTCATTTTGGCTTTCATAGACTGAAATCCCATGTGTATTTTTCTGAATAAGAATTCATATATTCCATGAATATGGAATATATATATGAAATGTTAGACTGCAGCCTCAGAAATTAAACAGAAAATATTTCAAATGTTTAATTTATATAAAATTAACATTTATTATTTAGGATTATATAATAATTAGTTTGACGTCTAGAGGTTGTCAGCTTTTTCTAAGTTTGACAGATATAGATCCTATTGTGAATTATTCATCCATGTATATGTTTTTTCTTTTTTACTTTTTTTTGTCCTTGTAATGTTTAATCAATGTGTCAAAACTTGATCTTCCCATGAAAATGACAGACTTCTTTATGGTGATGTATGCCAGACACCGCCAATCATTTTGTCTGCTAACCCTGCCCCTCAACAATCATCTGCAATAGTGTATTCATTTTTCAGTGCAGTGGTCACATCTCAAAATCCTATCAACAACCGACAGATAGAACTAAGCCCCCATCCTACATTTTTTCTTTTCGATAATCTTTTACACTTAGATGTGTGCTAGAATACGCAAGAAATATGTTGTTACTTATGTTTCATCACAACTTAAATAATTTTATTGACTGTGTTTTGAAAAAAAAAAAAAAACAGTTTAGATTCTGTTTTGTCCTCAATTCATAAAAAAATGCTAGAAGTGGACACATGGTAATAGTAGGCTGCTAAAACAAAGACAGAAGATTTTAGTCATTGTCCATTAAAAATATTTTTTTATTCATTATACTCCAGACAGTTTTTATCCTGTAGACAAAGCTCACAATGATTAGAAACGGAAATCTGTCAATTTCAAGAAAGCCCCTCAGATCTTGACCGGTAGTCCTGGCTAAGTCTTGCTTTTTCTTGTTTTACACCATGTCTGCTTTTGTACTTTCTTTAGATCAAAAGTGCGCCTTAGGGAGGATAGAGTTTGAGAAACCGGCAAGTCTTGAAAAAATTTAATCTAAAGGGCTGTGACCTTCCAGATAATATAAAATGATTTTTATATTGTAAATATAAATTTAAATATACAATTTACTGATTGGCTGAGAACTTGGAATTTCTTTTCGTCCTTCCACTTCTTCAGTTTCCACCAGTGCCTTCCACAAAACATCACTAATTTGGCTCTAGCCTTGATGATAATAAAGGCTAGAAATGTAATATTAGTAGATAATTCTGTTTGTGTTAAAGTGGGGTCAGTAATGATGTAGTAATCGTATGTGCTATTCACAAATTTATGATGAAATGCCAAGTTCTGTCATGAAACTCTAGATGGCGCAGGCTGATGGGTCATTAATGCAAAATGATGATATTCACAGCTTTAAACTACTGGGCATAATCTGATTGGTTTATGTTGCATACACAGCCAATAAGCTTGCTGCTTTACATTTAAATAGCTGGTTAGCATCCACTAGTAGTGATGGGAAGTTCGGATAATTTTATCGACTCGGACCTTTGAGTCTCGTTCAGCAAAATGAACGAATCTTTTCTCGAGTCATTTCGTTCATTTTAGCAAAATATAATTAAAATGTTACGTGTTACTTCCCTAACACGTCTACTACCGCAAACGTTGATCACACTACAAACAATACAAAACTGCTATAAGAAACAGAAAAGATTAATTCATTGTTTACATGGGTCTTCAGTCTATGATTAGCTCACCACCTCTTATCTGACAAGTCTTCGGGTTTGAGTCGTTCGTTCATCACGTGACAGCCCCATAATTTTTTACTTCTTACGGTTTATAAATGTGTGAATTTCTGTCATTATGGTTCTTTTCCATGGTTCTTCAACACTGAATGTTGTAACAAAGGTAATAAAGAGTTGGTTATTATTATTAAGTCTCTTTCCGGCTCAGACTGCATAGGTTAAGCTTATGGGTCTGTCACGTGATGAACGAACGACTCGAAAAACCCGAAGACTCGAAACAGGTGAACTACTTGACTAATTCGAGTACAGAACCTATAGGATGTTGCGCATGCGCGACTGAACGGATCACTCCCCGAGACGACTCGTTCTTCCCGAGTCACATTAAAGATTCGTTCAAAATGAACGAATCGTTCAAGAACGACCCAACACTATCCACTAGAGCATTTCGCAGCATGCTTTTAAGCCTGGGACACACCAAGCCGACGGTCGGCCATCGGTGAGCGTCTGTCGGGCTAGTTTGTTTGTTGTGTTCCTCATGTCAGCAGCACTTTGCCCGATTCAACATGTTGGTGCGAATGAGAACTCTGATTTGATGCTCAGTTTAGCGAACGAGTCAGTGCCCGAGAATAAAGCAGTAGTGATGAAAACGAGTAAGTAAATGAAGGCGGCACAGACAGAAGGCCGTTCTAATGTTACTTGGTCTTTCCCAAGCATTCCAATATGTGAATATTTTCATAACAACATGAGCCGCTTAAAATTTATCAACGTAACTGATAATCAAAATGGTAAGCAAGCGCTGCTTTGTTTACGTTTCGTATATCTACGTATATCTCGTATATCCTAGTTTTGGTTTCTCCTTTTGAATGGCGAACATATACTATTTATAGCTGCTGATATGGACAGTTTAGGCGACAACAGTCAGCTTGGTGTGTCCCGGAAGATTTGCTTTGAAACCCTCCACCTTCCCCAGCTCCACCTGTGTAGATCTGCTACTGGTTATTAAAAATGCTGCTTGTGCAGCAGCAGTATGTCTTCAATATTCACAGCACCGTATTGGCAGTAGCAAGTTCCTGTAGTTATTTAGGAGCAGCAGCAGCAGCAATAATCTACAACAACAGCAATAACCAACAGCAGCAACAATTCAGCAGTGTAGCAGATCCGTTCTGCCAAGACCAAATACATTAATGTTGTCATATCCATCACCATGCTAAAATTTTCAGAGAGTTGTCATGATAGAACTGAGATAATGGGCAGTGGTATTATTATTGGTCATCAGGCATAACATTTGCAAATACATTTTTAAGTAATTCTTGCATAGATCTTTATGTATATTTTATTAAACAAGCAGTTGTTATTTATGTCCATATTAAACCCAGTTTCTGTTTATTCTGTTCTTGAAGAATTTATAGCAGCCGCTGTCCACTCTCACTTCGATGACTGCCCAGACTCCCACAGCCACTTCTGTTTTCATGGCACATGCCGCTTTCTCATACTGGAGGAAACACCTGCATGCGTGTAAGTTCTAAGATGGTCTTTTTTCAAACTGAATATACATTTTTTTTCCATGTGTTTTTCCTGCGTTCTGACTACCCCTAGTGTGTTAACAATCCAATATTCACATTAGTTTTTTCAAATTTGATAATTAACAACAGTCCGTTTTCAAGCAATCAAAACAGATCTATATGTTCAAAGTCTTATTTTCTGCCATATATTTTTAGTCGCTATAGGGTATAGAGACTGGATAAGTGCAGTTTTATTTAATGCTGTCTCTGCCAGCATTGCTATGGCAGTTTTTATATGAAATCAAATGCTTTGAATCTTGATCACTGAAGAAAAAGTTAAAAGATTCCAGAAATCCTAATACTATGATTGTAGTTGATGTCAGATTTTAAAAACAAACAAACATATTTTTACACAATAATGAGATTAAACGGCTAAACGGTCTGACATGCATTTTGATTGCTGACTGACTTGGATAAATGACAGCGTTTTTGTTAAGCTGTCCTTGTCAAGACGAGCATGTTTTGTCCTAAATTGCGTTTCCGTGTATAAATGTGGCAGAATAGCAGTATTCAACTCTGTGTTGGTGCTTGTGTCTGAGTTGGTATGAGTCCTAATGTTGTCAGGGAATTTATTGTTTTCTCTGTATCCACATCCGTATGTCATAGTTCACCACAAAATGTCAAATGAATTATAGTCAATTTTAATTTGATTGATTTTATGAGCATGATACTGGCAGATTCCTCATTTTGGAATGAAATGCTTTTACCTAACATCTATTGAATATACTCATGTTTTCCCATGCATATTTTCATATTTGGCTTTAGTTTTATAAAGCCCTCTTTTTCAATTATAACAAGTCAGTCTTGTTTGTGTAGATGTCATCCTGGCTTTGTAGGTATGCGATGCGAACATGCAGATCTCTTGGCTGTGGTGGCGTCTAACCACAGGCAACAGACCGTGGCCACCATGCTGGTGTTGTGTGTGGTGGGCAGTGTTCTACTCATGCTGCTCTGCACTTTACTAAAGTGAGTATTATTAATTTAGCACACATTTAAATATACTCATTTACCTGTATATCTGTAACTTTAAAATGTAATTTATTACTGTGACGGCAAAGATGTCATTACTCCAGTCTTCAGTGTCACATGATCCTTCACAAATCATTCTAATATGCTAACTTAATGCTCAAGAAACATTTCTTATTATTATCAATGTTGAAAACAGTTGTGCTGCTTAATATAGCATTTTAGAACGTAATAAAATCAAATTACAAGTGCTCAATTTTTGGAATCTGATTATGTATTCCGGCATGTATCGTAATTTCCCAAGAGCAGGTTATTTGTTTGGTTTTATATCTGTCTTTGTTGAATTAACTGTGCAATGCAGTTTTTTGTGGAAGGAGAAAGAGGTCATTTGTAGAGTTCACACATTGTCTCTGTAGTTGTTGGTGGAGACGGGGTGGTTGTGGGCGAGGTAACACCATTTCGTGTTGGTCGGAGAAGCCTAGGAGTATTTTGACGGGTGGGACATCCTGCTGTCACTCAGAAACAGGTATTCTGGTGCTACATTTCCATTTTTACACAACTTTTTGCTGAGCTGTAGTGTCATGTGTTAAGTGTCATGCGGTGTCTAATTATGATCAGCAACAGGGGGTGTTTGCATACCGAGACCAGCATATGCGTGAGGCCTTTAACTTTTAATGGCCTATGATTTAAGGGTTTAAGCTGTTAGTTTAGCCATCTGTTGTCACTGTCCTAAGACTGTCAATGATCATGAGACTAATAGTTGGTCGTAGTGAAACATAGGCTAATAAACTTTTATTTGAAATTTGTAGGGCATAAAATGTGTCAGTGCTTTTAATTGGTTCTTTTGTCTAACTCATAGTTAAGTTAAAAAGATTGAAATCTGTTCTTCTACCCTTTTTTCTTTGAATTTTGAAAGATGTAGATAAACGCTGCCAGTTTGGACACACCTATTTATTATTTACCGTTTTATTTTTTTGTAAGAAGTCTCTTATGCTAAACATGCCACGTTTATTTAATCAAAATACAGTAAAAACAGCACTGTTGTTAAATATTATTACCATTTAAAATAAGTTTTGTATTTTATATATTTCAAAATGTAATTTATTTCTGTGATGCAAAGCTGAATTTTTCAGTCCAGTCAGTTTTCAGTGTCACATGATCCTTTAGAAATCATTCTAATATGCTGATTTAGTTCTGAAGAAACATTTCTTCTAATTATTATTATCATGAATATATATTTTTATAGATATTATTTTTTTTGGAAACCATTATACTTTTTTGTTAGGATTCTTTGATGAATAGAAAGTTCAAAAGAACAGCATTTATTGGAAATGGAAATCTTTTGTAACAATTTAAAAGTCTTTCCCGTCTACTATCCTTGCAGAATAATAGTATTAATTGCTTTCAAAAAACATTACTGATCCCAAACATTTGAACAGTAAATAAATACGATTTTTTTCTTAAGAAAAATCACATGTAGAAATAATTTATATTTGTCTACAAAACTGTTTTAAAAAATGTAAGTTTTAAAATGAAATGATTTTTAAAAACAATTCAGTCAAGTGTGTCTAAACTTTAGCCTGGTAGCATATTTCATGTTATGTTGTGAGTATATGTTCCTCGTCTTAGTGGGCAGATTATGTGTAATCACTGGAGGAACTGAATATCCCCAGACATAATTACGCAACTAGAAATGGAATTGTTGGAATTTTGTCCATACAAATACCCTCAGTTATCTCTGCCAGTCTGCTCACAGTGATGCTTGTTGACAGAGTATTGCAAACCTTTAATTAGATTTGTCAACAGGAAGTTGTTACATACTTTGTCAGCATCGTCAGGCATTTCTAATTGTTAGATAGAACTGTGGCTGTTTCCACAGTAACATATCAATACATTTGCATCAGTCATCAGTTTGAAGTAAAACACTGTGTCATGTTTGTCTTACATATGTGTATGTTTTGTCAATTTTCTCTTCCACTTCCATCTTCTTGTCTTCTCGTCTCATCAGAAAATGTTCCTTATGCACAAGGTATTAATTTCTAAAGTGTTTTGGAGTAGATTGATCAAACCCCTCTGCTTTCCCTGTTCCTAGAATCTTATTATGTGAACAAAAAGGTTTCTACATTGCTTGCAATGACTTAATGCCTTTATTTTTCATTTGTGTTTTTCTCATGCAGTGGTTTGACCTGCGTTTTCTGAAGCTCACGCATGTGCTCTCTTAAAAATGAGACCACAAAATCTTCCATCTTACTCCTGGACTTTGCTATGACTGCGTTTCTCAGACTGGCACAGCTGGTAAGCGCAGCACATATTGAGAGCATTTCGATGTGGGCAGTGGGAGAACTCAATCAAACATGGAACTTTACATTCAGACAGACTGTGTCATTCCAAAAAGGATATTTTTGGAACAACAACAACAGCAATAACAAGAGTTAAAGATGGAACTCAAAAACTGAGAAACTCTGAAAGAAGAACTCAGAACAAGCAACATGGAACTCAACTACAGGATCCAGTGATGTAGAGACAGGGCCATTTGGAATAAGGTACAGATCGATGGGCAAAAAAACTGATCTGAAAGTGAAAACTATGAGAGAGGTTTTAGAGAAATCATTCTTACTAACAGAGCTTATCTTAAAGCTATAAATATTGTTATAGATGTATAAGACAACACTCTCCCAGTTTTTGTCTTTTAAAATACTGTTATTATAAGAAAAACACTAATAATATGCCATTGATGGGATGTGAAACTCACTAAAAAGTAGTTTAATATATACTTTTTAACAAGGATATAATATCACATTATTTGCTGTTATCACGTTAATGGATAAAGAATGGGAGATAACATTAAAGTCAGTCAGGTAGCATAGTAATATTAAAACTACAACAGACTCTTTTGCCAATTTATTTTAGCTTGATCTCCTTATAATGTTGATTAAAAAAAATCGTAAACAACTTTTCATAGATTAACAGCAAACATGAGACACTATAGCTGGCTCTGAGGGACAAATAATATATTTGACACATTATAACACTTTTAATTTTTTTATGTTTTTTAATAAAAATATTGGAAATGTATGGTGAAAAAATTCACAATTTTGACATGTAACTTGAAGTTATGCATAGATTCACAAATCTAACACGATATTTTCTTCATGCACAAAAAGTGCTTGTTCCTATAATGTGCTATCAAAGATTTGTCAACATCAGTAGGGTAAATGGTTTGTAAACGGAGCCTCAGTCTGTTCACTATTTTTAGTCACGGTATGACGTCACATAACATCTGCATGTTCACATATGGTATGATTGGATGCATGTATGTCGGATCACATAATTACACATATTTCACTGTACACTTGTGTGATGTACATTTCAAACACATTGTGAATACAGTCACCTTTAGATCTACACTTTTGTTTTCCATGATGGATGTTTGTGGAATAACTCACTTGAGGAATAAAACACTTCACTGTATCCTAAAGTGCACCATTATCATGTTTATTGGGGCACGCATATGCATACAGAGGCACAAATCATTATTGATATTATTCAGTTTGATGCACACTGTCCATATTAACTTATGCTTATATTAGATATATGGAAATTTTTACACTGAAATATTTTAATCCATATGTTTATTTTGTTCTCATTGTCTTATCTGTCCCCAAACTTTTGCCAATCTCATGTTATAAAACAAATGTTGATTGACCCTTAAGGTCAGAGGGTTTATATATATCTTTATTTTGGAATGTCAAAATGTGGTGCTGGTACAAATATAAAATGTGCCATTGTATGTTTTATTCAATCAAAACCCTTCTCGGAAGCTGGCAAATGACTGATCTAGTACAAAAAAGAAAAGAAAGAAAATGATTTGGTGGGCTTAGATTTGGCCGTGTTCTGTTATGAGATCGTGGAGGCATTTACTGAAGTCTGATCACTGTGTGAAGATTCATGAAATATTTGATATAATGATCCCAAAAGTCATCCAAGTGATAAATTAAACACTTAGGCTGTTAGCATGGGCAACATTTGCGTTATTGTCTATGTGAATGATTTTGATCAGCCTGAAAGAACAGATTCAGGATGATTGATCTATGTTTATTTATTGATCTGTGTGACTGATCCTGATATGTAACTTAATTATAAACATTTATTATATGAACAAACAAATGTGATTGATTGTATAAGGACTGCGTATAAAATTCACGAAAAATGAGTGAATGAGAGTGCAATGACGGAAAAGAAAATGCATGTAATTGAGTGTTAAACCTCAGATATATCAAATGTAATGTTTGTTTGTTTTTGTAACGTAAGCATTGGAAATTTCGGACTGAACAGTTTTGTAACATGCAGTCGTTGCATAATTTCCAGATGTGGAATTGCAGTCATCCGTTATGATGATGTCACACTCATAGACTAACAGATGAATTGGCCTTAGACTAAAGATGATGCTCAGTGTCGCATCTCTTGCTTTGTTCCAACTGAATCCTGTTTAAACCTGGTTAACTGCTTATTGACTGACATTTATGTATGATATACTGTAAACACCATCCGTCGTTCTCTTTAAAATACTGTCTTGTTTCATGTTGGGAAAAATGCTTTGTAAATAATGTGTGGGAATATTATTTTGGTTGTTCTGTATATGGAGAATGAGCTGTTTTCTTGACTATCACTGATCATCAGTCAAGCATGAAGGTAAGAGTTAGATGATTCCAATAAGACTGTCACATGCTTGGCTGTATGACATTTTGTTGAGTGTTTTGACCTCTTTGTCTAAGTTTGCATATTTTTCCAAATATCACAAAGTGCGGCAAATTTTGGACTGGACCTGATTCTTTCTTACCTATCGTAATTTCTCGTTTCATCAAACTTTTTATGAAGCACACTTCCTCCTTGCCAAGTTATAAACCGCTATGTCCAGATGTATCCTCCATCATCTGAATACTTTAAAAGGGTCAAACAAAGAGCCAGAGTGCTCTTTTTGCTGCGGGTAAAGCTTGGCTCCTTTATTTACTTATTTGCCGATTTATTTATTTGTTTGTTTGGCTAAACCTTTTGTGAGATGAGGGGAAGGCCCCTAGAGGTCATGGCTGAGAGCAGTTAAGCTTGCGCATGAGTGACCACATGATGCAAAGTGCCTGCCTGTTGGACATTGCGTGAGTATTTTTTTTTTATTTGCTTGTAATTTACTTTCTGTGCTCATACCCTATTTTGGCTTCAATTCTCTCCACATATTTTATTCTATTTTATTTATTTATAAAGCAAGTAGTTTTTCCCTCAAATGAAGTGCCCCAGGAAGGAACCCTTACTTGCTAAATAGATGCCAGTAAAGAGCCTTTAACATCCATGGAACTTTTCCACAGCACAAAAGGTTCCTTATGGTGGAAGAAAGTTCTTTAGATTAAAATAAAATAAAATTGTTCTTTAGTGGAACTGTTCACTGAAAGGTTCTTTGGGGTACCCAAAACAGTGGTTCTGTTCTCTTCTTTTGGAGCCTTTATTTTTGTCTTTCTTCCATCTGTATTTCGCATATTTCATCTTAACTGCTCTTAACCTCGATCTCCTCTCCCTTTCTTCTTCTATCACGATCCTCTGTTGATGGGTTTCCCAATCCCATTAAGGTTTTCAATTGGATTGCAGCACAGCCCCTCATAGCCGACTGGCTGAGCCTCTAAACCCAGCTTTGTTTTAAGCGCTCTGCTGAGGGAACTCCAGCAATATACACAACACGCTTACGGAGCAGCGAGATAGAAACACAAAAGAGAGGATGTATTCCAGTTGTCGATTGTGAACATCGCACTCAGGGAACAGCGACTATTCACCGTCTGTGTCCTGCTGGTGTTTGCCCTCATTTCATAACCTTCTCATCGTATGCAAATTCCACAATAATTGAAGAGCATAATCATTTTCATATTTTATATTTTGCCATTCTCATTTTTGCCCCAGTTTGTCAGTCTTTTAATGTCGAACCATAGCTGGCATCTGCTGGAGCAGATGGGGAGGTATAAGAGTATTAGGGTTAAGTGATCTCCCTCTCCACCATCCATCCACAGCAGCCTCGGTGAAACAATGAAATCCGCGCTCTACAGAAACTACCTCTATTGTATTCTTGTCTGAACTATTTCACTGTAGAAATTATATTCTGATTCATTCACCAGTGACGTAAAAAAAGAAAACAATTAGATCATTTAAACACTTTTGTTTGTTTTTCAGATGTTATCCGACCATGAAAATTCATAGGGTTCAGTTGTCACCGCTGAAACAATGATATCAGCACTCTACAGAAACTACCCCTGTTGTCTTCAATGTTATTGTCTGAACTATTTCGCTGAAGAATTTATATTCTGATTCGGCCAACGATGTAAAAAAACAAAAAACAATTCGATTATATAAATAATTTTGTTTGCTTTTCAGCTGATGTTATCGGACCATGAAAATTCATAAAGGTCAACTGTCACACTAACTTAAAGTAATAATGTCCCTCATTCAGTCCACTACAAGACATTTGATACAGCGCCATCTGCTGAGTTTATAGAAAACATTAAGTAACGTTAGTTTCAAACATACGTTTTTTTATGCGTTTTTGTCTTTAACTATAGATTAATTTATTTAATAATCTATATACACATTATAATCAATTTATTATGTGTCAATTGATCAGTTAACAATTGATCATTAATTTCTTATATATATATATATATATATATATGAAGAGTTCATTTGCAAGAACATCAATTTTTAAGAATTTTCAAAAATCATGTTTTGTCTTGAAAATGTAAAAAAACTGAGTTATCTGTTTTTGCAAATAAACTCTTCATAGAGAGAGAGAGACTGAGACTATCAGTCAAAGCTTTATATTTGGGGACTTATATCTGACCAGTATTTTACCAGATGCTATATCTACAAATGAGTGGATAACAATCAGACAATTTTCACAAACTATATATAATTAATTGGCAGATTAACAATAAGATATAATGTATTGGCAGTATATTACGATTTCATGAAATCTAAACTTCTAAAAGAACATGATTTTTTGTTTTCCAGTCCCACATTCTGATATTTCAGCTTACATCTTGTTTCATCATATGAAACGTGCATATGGAAAAAATATGGTCCATTTAAAAATTAGTTTAACCCTGCAGCAACATTACATAATCATCAGCTGCACTGGATATAATTTGTGCACTCTTCAGTCTGCATCCTGTTTTAATCGAGCTGGTAGTTCATCTAGGCTGTGTAATCTATGCTGTGGAGGAACATCAAGGTGCCCATGACAGACTTGTCTGTCAAGCAGGTAACCTCGAATACCCAATGAGCGTGAGGTCAGGTAGTCGTTCATATAATGGTCCCCAACATGAACTACACTGGAGGCTGGAACACCACACCGTACCAGTGCCTGGGTAAAAATGGCAGGGTCTGGTTTAGCAACCCCAGCTTCTTCTGAGGTCAGGAGAAATGAGAAGTGAGTGAGAAGTCCACATCCCCTCAGGATCCCTTCCAAACGCTTGTCGAAGTTGGAAACAACACCTTGCTTGAGTCCCAAAGCGGTGCAGAACTTGAGGGTGCTATTAGAATCAGGAAACACCTGATGGTGACACAATTTGAGATTATAAAACTACATCTTCCTCATTTTAAAGTCATTGTAGCATACTTCAACATAACAGTATGTACTTGCCTACATTTAAGCTATTTCAATAAGTCATTTTTGAGGACAAGAAATAACTGGCAAAGGAGATGTGTATTGAACGAGCGCCCCCTACAGGGGGTTCTGGAATTAGTAATAAAACCGCTTAAAATACTGAGTTTGAAAGAAAAAATTACTATTTTAAAGGCTAAAATATCCGAGAAGTCAAATACCCCTTACCTCCCAGTTTTCTGGTCCACAAAAGTTGTGATAAAGATTGTTGGCTAGTCTATCCAGTAAAGCAGGGTCATCTACCGCACACTGGGCAAAAGTGTCCCTCACTAGTCCAGCCCACCACACCTGGCTGTTCATGCCCTGAGCTCTGCCATAGTTGGGAAATAGGCGTGATTGCTGCCGGTAAGCCTGTCTGAAAGCAGTTTCTAGCTGCGCAGCTGGCAGCTTGAGTCCTGCTCGCTCTGCTTCGCTGCAGTACTGCTCGCCAACCGAGCGCCGGACCTTTAACAGAGTGTCCTTCACATCCCATAACACCCAACGCACTGGCCCTCGCATCACCGACACGGCTGGAAACCGACACGTCTTATGCTCTGATAATAGGAATGACACGCATAACCCACAGAAGGTAACGTAGGGTTGGAAAGCAAGGTGATAGAAGGAAAATAGAGTGGTTACTAGAAGATTACTAGAAGTAGTTTTCCTCTAGGGGGCGCCTGGCGGCTCAAAAAGCCGAATCCCACATTGAAACGCATTTAAATCTCAGTGCTTTTTTTGTGCCGCTGGGGATATTTGAACCCTAAAAACAGTATCCTATTAAAAATAAAATAATTTTAAGGATTTGATAATTAAAAAGATTCTGACATAGATAGCAAATTTGCACCAGCAATCTCAAATGAACTACAGAAATGCTTCATCCAAAATGAACAACAACAAAAAGCAACCAGTATCACGTGAGGATGTGCTACTTCTGCAGCGGTCTGACCAATTATTTACAGCCGAGAATAGAAATTTTGAAACTTTAAAAACGGTTTAATTTAAAATACATTTTGTAGCAACTAATCATGCCTGACTAATTAGAGATCATTTCTGGGCTACCAAGTCCCGTCGTTTAGACAATCCTACTCGGTTCTTGCGAATAGCCTTTCTACCCACTATTTCTATTATACAGTGAGCGAGTTCTTCATTACAAATGTCCGTACAGGATTGGATCAAGCGAACAAGGGTTCCACTTTTGAAATAAGTTCAACTATAGTTAGGAAACGCTTTCTATATATTTACAGCCGATACTTAGACATTACATTTTCGTCAATACGTTTGTCTTCGGTCCTTGTACAACAGATGACTTCCTGAAAGCAGGAAATATCACATCACACAGGTTTCACTGTATTAGTGAGCACATAGACTCCCATGGTTAATCGGGTTAATAATATTTTAAATAAAATAATTTTAAGGATTTGATAATTTAAAAGATTCTGACATAGATAGCAAATTTGCACCAGCAGTCTCAAATGAACTACAGAAATGCTTCATCCAAAATAAACAACAACAACAAAAAGCAACCAGTATCACGTGAGGATGTGCTACTTCTGCAGAGGTCTGACCAATTATTTACAGCCGAGAATAGAAATTTAGAAACTTTAAAAACGGTTTAATTTAAAATACATTTTGTAGCAACTAATCATGCCTGACTAATTAGAGATAATTTCTGGGCTACCAAGTCCCGTCGTTTAGACAATCCTACTCGGTTCTTGCGAATAGCCTTTCTACCCACTATTTCTATTATACAGTGAGCGAGTTCTTCATTACAAATGTCCGTACAGGATTGGATCAAGCGAACAAGGGTTCCACTTTTGAAATAAGTTCAACTATAGTTAGGAAACGCTTTCTATATATTTACAGCCGATACTTAGACATTACATTTTCGTCAATACGTTTGTCTTCGGTCCTTGTACAACAGATTACTTCCTGAAAGCAGGAAATATCACATCACACCGGTTTCACTGTATTAGTGAGCACATAGACTCCCATGGTTAATCGGGTTAATAATATTTTAATAATAATATTGGCCTAGCCCTACTCCTGCCATAACCATCACAGAAAACTGTGCAGGACACTATATTTAAACAGAAACACGATTCGACTGATTTATAAGACTTTTTAACTAGTGAGGACATGTAAAAGTCATAATATTTCACTATTTAAGTGAGGACATTTGGCCCTCACAAGTATAGCTAAACAAGTACACACACACACACAACCTAAATATTATCAATGATGACACTGAGAACATAACTAAAATACAGTTTTAATGATGCACAATGATGATCGTATAACAAATTCATAAATTGTAGTGAACAGATAAATACGTCTTAGAATTCAGAAATCAAATCATCCTAATTGGGGCAGATGATTCGTTTAACTTAATGTTTTGTTCTCCCCTCACTCAGTGTCACAGGTGTCTCTCTGTCCACAACTGTATCAGAAGTAGAGCTTGAGAGTTCAACATGCTCTTGATTTATTTGCTCAGTTTGACTTCTGGTTTGCTCTTGGACCTGTGCGCTTGAGTTCAACTGACCAGCAGTCTGCTTGTACATTCCTGACTTCCTGATTTTGCGAGTAGCCTTGCTAAAGTGAGCAATAGCTTGTATAATGCTGCCAGCAGTCCAGTGTTGTCGGGTGAGTGCGTTCTCTACTTTGAAGGGACCGTCTCGTGTACGACGCACTCCAGAACAGACAGCAGACGTCCGCAGCTCTAGTCCAACCTCGTGAATCAATTTACGCAGATATTTCTGAGTCTCATTCACACACTGGACCTCTGATTTGAAGTGAGGAAAAGAAATGTTAAAGGACACATGTTAAACATAAACTTATGTAGAAGTACGTAATATAGAATTCAGAGTACTAACCCAATGTGAAATGTGGTGGATTGAAATGTATGCATCGCAAACCAGTCAGAATCGGTGGGCTTTTACCATGAGGATACAATAAACCCCTCACTGCAAGCTCGTAAGCCTCCTGAGTGTGCAGATCCACCTGAGAATACCTGCACAGAGACATAATAACATACTCAGAGAGATGCTATGCATTAACCAAATATTTACACATAGTCCGACAGTATGAAATGTAATATTATGTAGAATAATATTCTTATAGCGACTCACATAATTAAGGCTTTCTGGTTTGCTCCCTGTATCATGGCAAGAACTCTCTCGAGCTTATCCAGGGTAACATGGTCTAGAAAATAAAGACACAAAGTTTACTACAAATTCTTAGTCTGTATACTATACATAACAAATATGATAGTTATGATATTGTAATGCACACATTACCGTATGTGGTTTTTTCAATGACTCGGCCTGTGTGAGTGAAATTATCAGTGGCTTTCCCAAACTCCCCTTCAAGTGTGTAGTCCTTCATATATATAAAACAAACACAACAGTCTGCATAAAACTGTCTACTAGACATCTGCTAAAAGTCCTGATTTGATCATCACTTAGTATGAATTCATAATCAATCAGCGGAAAAAATACAGGCAGAATAAAAAATAAAATAGCAGTTAAATGTGAGCTTAATTATTACGCAATATAAAATATAACCTTTACCCGAGTTACATGTGATTTGCACAGATGCTCCAGCACTCCATTTCCTTTCCCAACGCCTAAAACTGAGGTAGAGATATGAGAGAATTGAGCAGAGTGCATTCCACAATTAAATCACTTGAAAACTTAAGAGTTAAACATTTTTGGTCACCTAACACCCCAGAGGAAAAAGCATCCAATCGATGGCCAACTCCAACGTGAACCTTATGAAACTGTGGCCCTGTCACTACAGAGGAAAAGCAAGTTATCATTTTAAAGGTAACAATGCATGACTGATTTACAGTTATGCATCAATCATATATTATATATATATACATATATATAGTAGTTATGTAAGTACAACTAAGATTATTTGCATTATTTTCATGACAAATATGCATGCCCCCAATTCTCAGCACTGCAATGAAAATCTTAAATAGTAAAATATACATCACGGTAGTATTTGTTGCACTGCCTTTAATGTATGCTAATTTAAAAAAACAAACAAAACTATAATTAATTAATTATTGATTATTATGAAAAGAATGTCATAATGCAAAACTATTAATGGTTCTAAAGTGTTTATGTGACCTGGACATATTTTTGAAGGTTTAGCCACTAACCTAGAGGATGGTCTGCCAGTGTGGGGACCATAGAGGGTGATAATACGACATCTTTGGAGCTGCTGTTTTCTCCACCGGACAGAAGCTGGAACTGCACTGCAAGCTGAGGAGCTGGTGGAGGACAGGAGTTCAGCGCTTCAGAGGAGGATGACAGGGAATGCATTGACGGAAGAGAAGAAAGTTAGTTTTCAGTTGCACTAATAATCATGTAATTACATTAACTAATAATTTATCACAAAGGTAGTCGTTATCTATAAGCATTTAGTTCACAAGTGACACAGACACTACCTTTTAATAAATTGGACTCTATGCTGTCACGAACATGTTTCCAGTGAACTCCCTGCGGTTTGTACACAGCAAACAGACCATCCATTTTACGGAAAAGACGTACAGCCTGAGAGGTCATCTTCGCCCAGAAACAAATGTTACAAGCATCAATATAATCTTAGGTAAATAAACAAGGAAGCAAAAATTCACATGCTGCAGTACCGAAATTCTGGCGTGACCTTCTTCTTCTACTGGAGTGGCGTTACAGTATTACAGTCGCATCAGCGCCCTCTACTGGACGAGATATTTCAGTACCATGCCAGATAAATGCTAGCATGTTTAAAAAAAAAAAAGAATTTACCGCAAACCTAATTACTACTAGTACTATGCATCATAATGTTGTCTCCCCATTATAAATGTCTTAATAAACGGGAAAGTGTCACAAGATCTAAAATTGGAATCAAATTAGAATATTTTTGTGGGTTGTAGCCATAGACTGTATAAAAACGGGTGTAGCCTACCTAGCCTCCAAACTCCAGCATAGCTACAAACATAAAGCAACTGCCATTTTGGTGGGAAAAACAACATTAGAGTGATTTAGCAATGATATTAATGATGTGACATTTTATGGTAGCCTATTACTAGTTGGATATATAGACATCCCAAATGTTTTATAAAATTACAGATATCATTAGGCTAAATCAACATTTCAAAAGATGGTTAGAAATAGGCCTATCTTAACTTGCACCAACTTTATTTATTTATTTACTAACTAACTAACTATGAAATTTTGTTAGAAATTTAATTACAAAATGTGTTTTTCCAGCAGTGGTTTTGCATGTTGTTTTCAAAAACCTATAATTCAAATTCAAAATCCTTTTGAATTAGAATATTTTTGTGAATTCTATCAAAAGTCAAATGCTATGAAATTCAGTACTATTATATTTCCTGGATGTTTTTTTTTTTTTTTTTAATTAAGTAAAATAGGCTAAAAAAAGTTTGAATTGTTTGTTTTTTATTTGTACGTTTTAGAGTGAAATGTTATGGTTAATATATTATATACATACTGTATAATTAAAAATTCTTATAAATTAAAGAAGAGTCAATGTGGTCGAGAGACATAAGATATAAGATATAAAAACAAATGATTTGATGAGATGAGTGTAAAACAGT